TTGTCCCCTGAACTTCCGCTTCTGTTTTTTATGTCTGCGAGCTCAAAATAATTATAGAAAATAGAACAATTCATTCATAAATAACATGCAAATATCTCTAGTACAAATACAGTTCAAATGCAAATATTACATCTGAAATAACCGGATGTTCAACAAGTTTTTCAAAATCATCGATTCCAAATTCAGTGATAGTAGTCAGAACCGGCACAAGTCTTCCCATACATACAGCCTCTTGAGTTTCATTCAACAATGTATGTGCATGAATGGCCTGCCTTCCGTCATGCAGTACATCTCGGCAGCACATTTAGTCTAAGCAACATGCGGAGCAACAATGAGTGAATGAATAAATTAACCAACATGTAGAGCAATAGGGAGCAAACTTACGATCTCCATGGTTGATGATGGCCATAGTGTCTCCACTCATGCAACCGCACCGCAAAACTTCATGACAGAGTTGCAGATGGTGTACCATCGATGCGATATCGATTGCACATTGCGTTGATAGATGATGTGCATGTCATAGGGCGCAAAGTTCTTTCGCGCATGAAACGAGCCATGCACACACTGCCAAAAGATCGAGTCCCTTGAGTTCATGCCTACAAAGTCTGCAGATACAGCCAACCACGCCACACAAACAACTCATCCTCCTTCACCAGTCCCTCGCTATCGTGCTTACTCTAGAAAACAATGAAAAGTTCCACAATAAAAGCTAAATGAAATTTGACCGAACACCATTCGGGCGTGGTGTCCGTCATGGACATTGTTGGCAGGGGCGGAGGGTACCTGACTGCTAAGGGATCTAGGGTGGAAGGTGACAACGTTGGTGGGGCTTGTGGACGTCCTACTTGCCTGGGTGGCGGTGACTATGGATGAGGAGGTGCGGCTGCAAAGCAAGGGGGGAGCAAGAGCGGAGTGAAGAAAAGTGGACGAGAGAGAGAGAGAGAGAGAGAGAGAGAGAGATTTGAGTAGACTAGGGGTATCAGAGTCCTACATGGAGGCGATTCGTACTCCCTCAAAGCACCCACCCCTCCCTAGTTTGTTTTTTGTTTGCGTGAAAATGAACGCCGGAGTCCGCCATGGACCGATAGAGTACGTGTTGAATGGCAAAATGGGTCCATACAGCTCGATTTGGATGGATATGGGCGATTTGAAGGTAAGTGTTGGAGATGCTCTCAATTGCGTTCAGTTGCGGACCGCGTATACATATGTTTGGTTGGATGGCGCCCGGATTTTCTGGCCAGTGCTACGCCCATAACGTGATTGTCATACGAGTATTCATTAGTACTCCCCGGAGTAATGCCTAGGTAGCTAGCTTCTCTGCCGTCCCTTTCTACTCCAATCCCAATAGATACATATGCGATTCCTTCTTCTTCTTCCCTTTGAAAAATGATCCAGGAAATTCGTTCCAGAATCACGGAAAAGGGGACACACACCGCCTTCGTCACGACTCATGATCGGTGCTGCACTGCATGGTATTCAGTGGCTCTCCACTCTCCTCCCCAACGGCGCCCCACCCACCAATGCATTCAGTTAATCGTGTACTAGTGATTGATCCGAAAATAAAAGAAAAATGTACGAGCCAGCCAGGAGGGGGAGGTGCTTTTTTTTGCTTAAACGTGAAGAACGAGCCGTAGCATCCGTGCGTGTTACTGTACTCCTCCGGGCTGGCACGCCCGCAGTGCAGCCTGGAGTAGGTAGGTAGGAGGGAGTAGGCGTTGCCGCCGCCACACGACACGCGAACGATCCAACAACGGTGCAATTAACCAACTCGTGCCCAACGGAGCAGTTAATGGCACCGTACCACGCTGTGTCTAGAATCGGAGTAGATGCGGGGCGACGGGCCACACGGTGAGGATGGAGTCAGTCGCGTGAAGCATCTCTCCGTGCCGGTACCGGCATTGTACGTGCAATAAGCCAATAAGTAGGCGCTTCTTAGACCGATGTCCGTTTTGTCCGGATTCTGTCCGTTTGGATAGAGATTTGGGGTCGTGTCCGGACATGTTCTGAGATGCGGTGGCCGTGCGCCAGCGCGTGGCTGCATCCATTTGCCCCATTCTATCCGTGTCTATTTAAAACACCAAAAGCAACGTTTCAAATGCCAAGCCCTAGTTCAAGGGCCACCTCATTTGCTTTGGTGGCGGCATTCGTAGCCTCGATGTCGAGCTGCCTCTGCCTGGCCTTGACGTTGTCGGCCTCGATGTCGAGCTGCCTCCTCCATGTCGAGCTGCCTTTGCCGGGCCGCCTCCTCCATGTCGATCTTCCTCCTCTTGGCCGCATCCTCCATCTCAAGTTTCTTTCTTTGAAGGTCTAGGTATTGCTTCATTTGATCCTCCTTGTTTTGCCGCTTCTTCTCGTCCCTCATATCCTTTTGGGATATCATGCCATGCAAAGTGTCATGCAATGCCATGGATGAGGCATCACGTATGTCATCAACCTTGGAGTTGGTCTTGCCCCTCGGCCTCTTCAACGCCTCGCCATCTCCACCTCCGGCGAACTTGGCCGTCTTCAGTCCTCTCTTCCTTTATAGTTCACGGTATTGGTCCTTGAACTTAGTGCAATTGTTGATAATCGTCCAACAATGCGTTAGAGTGAATGGCTTGTCATTGTGCTGGGCCTTGAATGCCTCTGAGGATTGAAATGCCTACGCCACATGATCAACAACAAGTGAACATGCAAACATATACCCGGCCGAAGTCTCATGGCCGTAATAAGGAAAGGGCTAGGAAGAGGAGAGCATACCATGTCCCCAACGCCGAGACCACTCACGGGCCGTGCTTCAACGCTCTCAAATGCGGCATAATACTCGTTGCACTCTTGTTGGATGAACAACCATCTCTTTTGAATCGAGCCGATGCCACGGTTGCTTGTAATTTGGTAGGGGTCAAACATCTTCCTTTTATAAAATGTTTTGTGGACTCTCGTCCGAAAAATAATGCTCCTTTGTTGCGCGCCGGTCCTCGGATTTTGGCTAATCTACATCCAAGCTTGGCAAATCAACTTGTCCTCATCTTGTGTGTATGAACCCGTGCGAATGCTCTTTCTCTTTTTTTGTGCTTCCGCTCTTTGGATGAGCTCGTCGATGAACAATGGCTCGCCACTAATATCAATGTCATTGCCTTCTTCTTCATCACCATCACTTTCGACATAGATGTCATCGTCTTCATGCCACGAGTCACCATGGTCGTAGTCAGCACGGCCGTCGGCCTCTTCATCGGGCACGTACTGGGCACGGCCATCCTGACTTTGGGTCTCCTCGGGGTCGTAGGCACGGTCATGCCCACCCTCGAAGATTGCGTCCTCCATGTACTGGTTGTAGAAGGGGTCGTCGACCGTTGGGGTTGGCGTGGGAGGGTTTGGGGGAAATGGCGCCAAATGGGCGGGGGAGGGGGGTTGGTTTTTCCCACCGACAAACGGGCCAGGAAAGGAGAAGTGCGCGCGTCCTGCCCGTCTGCGCGCTGTCCGTTTCACCTCAAAAACGGCGCAAACTTGGACCTGGGATGGATCGAAAGCGGACACAAAAAGGACAAAAGTATGTTTGCCCCCGTGCACTGGGCCGTCTCGTTTGTCCTTTTTACCTCAAACGAACGGGGGCGGACAGAATAGAGTCGCGCGGTGGATTGGCCTTACTGCTGAAGCTGCTGATAGGTAATATAGCTCACCCGTGCCGTCCCGCGCGTAGCAAGCCAAGCGTTGCCAGGTGGGCTCCTGGCCCGTCTCTGCACTGCATGATCGATCTAGCTGCATGCCTGCAACTGCAAGCCTCTGCTTGCTGTGCTGTGCTGGCCGTGCATCACATCCGCAGGGCCGTCGTCGTCACTGTCACGCTCACATGATTAGATTTCTCCGAGCTAATATCCGTTCATCCGGCTAACCACTCCACCTAACGGCACACGCACAGTCACGCACGCACACATGACACGACCCCCTTTGACGCTCCTTTTCGCCCGCCTTTCCATCTCCGTCTCCAGCTCACGCGCGCCTGCGTGATTGAGGGAGAGACGACGGCCAGTAAACTAATCAAATCGGAAAATCGAGAATGAGAGCGGATGCGATGCATGATCCCGCATGCACGGCCTCGTGCGTGGCCGATCGTAGCAAGTAGCCGGTAGGAGTAGCATGATAATAGTAGTGCCACCAGCAGGCGATTAAACTAGTCGGGGGGTAACATGGTGGCCACCACGACGTGCCGGAGAAAAGCTAATTGTGAGAAAATGGCATATTGGCATGGACGGGACGAGAAGGAATCGCTCGGGTTTGCGCCGGAGAAGACAAGAAAGAAAGAAGCGAGAGTGGGTACGTAAACGTAGTAGAGAAAGCGGGACGGAGAGACCCCGGGCGGCGTCGGTTGATTCCGTCGCACGCCAACACCTGCCCCCGCCCCGCCCCGCCCCTCTCACCTTTCTTTTCTTTTCTTTTCCGCCACCCCTCTAGAGTCTAGCCAGCCGGCCGGCCTCTACATACTAGACCCTCTCTCTCGCAGTCCCGTGCTGTGTGCGTCGCGCGTTCAACCCAGACTAGACTACCCACTCTTTTCCGGGGCGGCATCGACGACGGGAGGAGTTGTATATTTCCCACTGCCTGGCTCGTCACCTTGACCTCATCGCCGCGCCATCGCCCCAATCGGCCTCCGCCGCCCGCCCCATCCCTTTGTCTTCTCGCCGTCGTCATCATCCCGCTCCATCTCCTCTCCTCGGTGCTGCGGCCTTCCGGGTCCTGCCTGCGACCGTGAGGGCTTGAGAGGGACGGTCCAACGCACGCTGACAGGGACCCGGAGACGAGGAGGGCTAGCAATAGCAAGCACCACCGACCTGGCTGCAAGCTGAGCAAGCAAACCAGGGCCGGCCTCGCTCAATTGGTCGCTGCTCCCTCCAGCTTGCGCCCTGAGCAGCGGCCGTCTTCATTCGCGCCGGTGACTGAGGTGGTCAAGAAGGGAGGTCGAGGGAGGGGTCGCCGGCCGCCTGCCATCCCGGGCCGGAGCACCGCGCCGGCGAGAGACACAAATGGGGGCGGGGACCAGGCCGTCCGCGATAGCTGCGGCGGCTCTGCTCGCCGTCGCCGCCTGCTGCGCGGCGCTCCTCGTCGCGGCCGCGCCGCCGCAAAGCCACCAGCCGCAGCAGCACAAGCACGTCAGGATCTCAGGTACGCCCTCCCATCTCCGCCTTCTTCCATTCCTGTGCCTTAGCCAAATCCCCCCGTCCCTCAGAGCCGACGCCGCGCAACGGATACCGAAATTGGCCCCGCCGAGATTCAGATTTCCCCCGCTCCGCCGCCGCCGCCGCAGAACGCAATGCCGCGGCCAGCTGGCCGCCTGGCTGCCGAATCCGCATCAAAATTGAGCAGGGCTCCCAGCTAGCTAGCTACATCTGTCCCTCCAACCGACGCTTCCATCCAATTCTTGCTCCGCTGTATCTGCATTCCTCCGTCCTCCGGTTCCAACTAGTCATTCGCACCCGGCCTGCTGCAGGAGCAGCCCGCCCATGTTGCCGCTCCCCGGGATCAATAATGCACGCCTCCTGCATTGCCAATGCGCCGGCGACCGATCCAGCCGCCGTGCGACTCGCCGGCCGGCCGGTACCGGACAGGCAGGCACACACAGTAATCAAGGACTGTACCAGCAACCAAGTACCAGCAGTAACAGCCACCAATTCTCGAAGCAATCCATGGTCGGTAGGTGAATTCAGTACCACCGAATTCATTCCCTCTCCGACGCTACACACATCAGTACACCGCATTGCATCAAATCGTTCTCGAGACGCCATGATCATGCCGTGCCCTCATCCACCACGAGTGGGATCTCGGCCCCATTGCCCCCCTTCCGCACCATCCCCCCGGCGGGCCACAGCTCCCGTAATGGCGCTGCCTCGCCGCTTCGGGAATCAAGCGTGCCGGATGCCATTATTAGCATTTCTTGCGAGGAGCACCACCGGCGGGGCTGTACCTAACCCGCACAGCCTGCTCCATCGGACGCAGATTTGGTGGACGCAAAGATCCGGAGACGATGATTTTATAAAAGTAGCGGCTGAATTCAGCGCCGGCCGGTCGTCCACTCACTCCGCTGATGGATGGATATCATGTCACTGATTCCCTTGGCTGTTTTTCTTTTCCTCCCGTTGAAACCTGACGTGCTAACAACCGCCGCATTGGTTATTAAAAATGGGGATAAAATTAGGAGGTTACCATTGTTTTCATCAAAGTTTAAAACTGCCTGATAGGGATTGATCTTTGTAGCATCTGAGCAGATCGCATGGTTGGTGAGCTGCTGATCGCAACGGCTCGGCCATTTCGCACCAACTGCTGCTCATCTGTTCATAACATAAGTGGCGATTTTGTTATGCACAAATTTGAGCACTCCATGCATGATTATCCATCCATCAGTTTCTCCTCAGAATCGAACTGTAGTTCTATAAATACTGAAACTAGTTCTACAGAAGTGTCATCTCTGTACTCCACATTTTGAGACAGTTTGAAGTAAACCGATCATATATGCTCAAAACATAAATGTTGCTTCAGGGAACGCCGGCGACGTGCTGGAGGACGACCCGGTGGGGAAGCTCAAGGTGTTCATCTACGAGATGCCGAGGAAGTACAACCATTACCTGCTCGAGAAGGACAACCGGTGCCTCTACCACATGTTCGCGGCGGAGATCTTCATGCACCAGTTCCTGCTGGCGAGCGCGGTGCGGACCATGAACCCGGAGGAGGCCGACTGGTTCTACACCCCGGTGTACGTGACGTGCGACCTGACGCAGCAGGGCTTCCCGCTGCCGTTCCGGGCTCCCCGGATCATGCGGAGCGCCATCCAGTACATCGCGGCGACATGGCCGTACTGGAACCGGACCGAGGGGGCCGACCACTTCTTCCTCGCTCCCCATGATTTCGGGGCGTGCTTCCACTATCAGGTACACCACTGACATGAATGCTGCCACTTACTACTGGGCTTCAACAGAATTTTTTGTCTGAATGAACAACATACTGAAGAATGAAACACAAATGATTTGTGTTTTTTCATTCAGGAGGAGAGGGCTATCGAGAGGGGGATCCTGCCGCTGCTCCGGCGCGCGACGCTGGTGCAGACGTTCGGGCAGAGGAACCATGTGTGCATGCAGGAGGGGTCCATAACCATTCCTCCCTACGCCAACCCGCAGAAGATGCAGGCTCACCTCATCTCCCCCGGCACCCCCCGGTCCATCTTCGCCTACTTCCGCGGCCTCTTCTACGACATGGGCAACGACCCCGAGGGCGGCTACTACGCCAGGTAATGGATTGCCACTATTGGCGGACATGTAGATCGACAGACGATGCAAGTTGAGATGCTAACGGCGGTGTGGATGATGATGGACGATGAAATGCAGGGGCGCGCGGGCGTCGGTGTGGGAGAACTTCAAGGACAACCCTCTGTTCGACATGTCGTCGGAGCACCCGTCGACGTACTACGAGGACATGCAGCGGGCCATCTTCTGCCTGTGCCCTCTGGGGTGGGCGCCGTGGAGCCCGCGGCTGGTGGAGGCGGTGGTGTTCGGGTGCATCCCGGTGATCATCGCCGACGACATCGTCCTCCCCTTCGCGGACGCCATCCCGTGGGAGCAGATCAGCGTGTTCGTGGCGGAGGCGGACGTGCCGCGGCTCGACTCCATCCTGGCGTCGGTGGCGCCCGAGGACGTGCTCCGGAAGCAGCGCCTGCTGGCCAGCCCGGCCATGAAGCAGGCCGTGCTCTTCCACCAGCCGGCCAGGCCCGGCGACGCCTTCGACCAGGTGCTCAACGGGCTCGCCCGCAAGCTGCCGCACCGGGAGGGCGCGTTCCTCAAGCCCGGCCAGAAGGTGCTCGACTGGAACGCCGGCCTCGACAGCGACCTCAAGCCGTGGTAGCGTGTGTAGAAGATCGTCGGAGCGCTTGCGTAGCCTCGTCGTGTACATTTTTGTTCTTCAGAGTTCAGAAGACCTCGCGCCCTGTTCTTTTTTCCGTTCGTTTCGTTTCGTTCTTTCTTTCTTTTTTACCACGGCCACTTTTGAGTGTACGCAGCAGCCAGCAGCAGTGATAGAGATGTGATGAGAAGCAGCGCGGCGTCAACTTTCTTTGTAGTGTGTAGTATGGTTGTGCAAACGAATTCCCTTTTATAGCCGCCGTCTGCTACGCTAACGAACTTGACAGTGCTGACTGAAGTCAAAAAACAGAGAAGAAAGAGAGATGGCAGTTTCCATCTGAGTTG